GATGGTTTTCTCGGGCGGTCCGTGGTTCCTTCTCGATAAACCCTTCGTTTTGCAGAAATGGAATCCAAAATTTAAGCCAAAAAGGGATGAATCTGCTCTTATTCCCATTTGGATTAAGATTTTTGACCTGCCCCTTGCTTTATGGACACCTTCAGGTATATCTAAATTGCTAGCTACATTGGTATTCCTATATCTGTTGATAGCCTCACTGCTAGAAGAACTAGACTGACGTTCGCTAGAGTATGTGTTCAAATTAGCAAAAATTTGCCTCTACCAGAAATTATTCCGCTAGATATGGATGGAGAAGATTTGAACCTTCAAGTCGTGTATGACTTGAAGCCCAGTCCGTGTGAGGGATGCGGCTCTCTGTTTCACCCATTTGCTCTCTGCTCCTCTAATCCCAACCCAAAACCGGCGCTTCCTCCGCGCGTGATTCGTGGGAGAAGCAAGAGTAGAAATCCAACTCCACGGCCTATTAGAACCTCTAAACCTCCACTTCCTCCCTCCAGAAACTCATCTCCTGTCAACAATCCGATTAAGAATCCTCCCTCTAACATTATTACCTCTGAAATCCCATCTCCTTCTGTTATCTTGCCGCAAAATGCCCCGCGGGATTCTCTTCTGGATCCCAATTCTTCCCAGATTGATTTAGATATCCCTAATCTAAATCTTCCAAACATTGATACTTCTTCCCCAAAACCTTCCTCCTCTACAAAAAGTCTTCTACCTTCCCAAGTGGTTCTTGCTAATAGTTTTGCTACTCTACAGATGGAGAATACAAACCCGGTGGATGTGAAAGTGGATGAAATTTTTGAGGTTGAGGATCCTTCCAGCGCCTAAAAAACTGAATCCAATAATCAACAGTCAGCTAGTTCATCTTCTAAATCTTCCTCTAAAAAGAAAGACAAATCCCCGCCAAAAAAATCCAAAACCAAGTCCACTGCCAAGAAGGCAAAAAATTCTCGTTAACTCATGTCCTTGCCGAATTTTGCCTCCTGGAACGTGAGGGGGTTCAATAACCCTCTTAAGGTTGAGATGTGTAAAGACCTTATTAAAACTCATAGTCTTAAGCTTATTGCTGTTTTGGAAGCCAAAATCCACCCCACTTGGGCTTCTGATCCGTGGTTTGTGCATTCTCATTCCCTCTTTGAGAATGAGCAATGTTGTGACAATTTCAGTCAATCTTCTCCGGGTAGAATCTGGATTAAATGGGACTCTACGCAGGTGTCATTTTCTCCATCTTTCTACTCCTCCCAAATCATTCATGGTACACTCTCTGCGGGTTCTTCTCCTCCAATTGTCTTAACTGTTATTTACGCTGTCAATCTTCCTGAAGACAGGAAAGAGCTTTGGGACAATCTCCTGACGCTTTCTCACAGTATTAACCTTCCTTGGGTTATTATGGGCGACTTCAATTGATGTAGATTCGAATCTGAAAAGGTTGGTGGTGCTCCTCTGATGCAGGGGAGACTGGATGAGTTGAATAACTGTATATTTGACTGTGGCTTACAAGACCTGGCTTCGGTTGGTCTTTTATTTACTTGGTATAATCAAAGGGTGGATCTTCCTATCCACATCAAGCTTCATAGGATTTTGGTGAATTCCGTTTTCATGGATTGCTTTCCCACAGCTTACTATAAGATTGATCCTCCTTATGGTTCTGATCACTCTCCTCTTATTCTGATATCTAAACATGATGAAAAGAAGTTCACCAGATTCATGTTTAAAAAGTTTTGGCTTAATCAGGATGGTTTTTGGGAGATTTTAATTAATGCTTTTGACAAACCTTACACTGCCAGCCCTATCTATGCCTTCTACAACTGTTTAAGGAAAGTCAAAATTGATATTAAAAAGAAGAATTGGTCTTCTTCTTCCTTCCTTTCCAAGGCTATCCTTGCGGCTAAGAGGACCCATGTAATATCAAAAATCTGCTCCAGGATCGTCCAGGACGATCTGGATCGTCCTGGGACGATCAGTTGTAAGTTTGCTCCAGATTTTGCCCAGTTTTGCTCCAGGTGATTTTTTGTACATATCGTCCAGGCCGATTTGGACATCGTCCAGGCCGATCGGCACTGTAGAAAATATCGGCCTGATCTTGTTGATTCTCTGGTGGTTCCTATTTCTGATAAAGAAATTAAAGATGTGGTCTTTGCGGGTAAGACTGATTCCTCACCTAGACCGGACGATTTTTCATTTGCTTTTTATCAAAAATCTTAGCACATCATTGGGTATTATCTTTGCATTGCGGTTAAAGAATTCTTTCTTTCGGGTTGTATGCCTAAAGGGGCTAAAGCTACTGTGATTACTTTGATTCCTAAAGGATCTCACTCATCTTCTTTTGCGGATTTTAGGCCGATTTCGCTTTGTAATGTGTTCTATAAGATTATCGCCAAGATTATATCAAATAGACTGAAACAGATTATGCCTCACATTATTCATGAGAGTCAGTCGGGTTTCATTGCGAATAGAATTTCGACTGACAATATTATTCTGGCCATGGAAGTGCTTAAACTTTATAAAGGTCATCACAAGTTTTTTTTGTGCTAAGCTGGATATCAAAAAAGCCTTTGATTCCATTTCTAGAGAATTCCTTTTGGATAGACTGAGGCGGAAAGGCTTTCCTGAACTTTTTATCAAATGGATTCATGGTTGCATTTCAGACGTTTATTTCTCTATTTGCATCAATGGTTCTTTAGAGGGCTTCTTTAAATCCTCTTCTGGTCTTCGGCAAGGATGTCCTCTATCACCTTTGCTTTTCTGTATTGCCATGGATGGTTTATCTCATTGCCTAAAATCTAATCCCAATGCTTCTTTTGAGGGGTTTAAGCATAAAAACTTTTGTTTGTCTCACCTTATGTATGCTGATGACTTACTTGTATTTGGGGAGGCCTCTATGTCTAATCTTGCTTTCCTTAAGGCCACTCTTATTTCCTTCAAGGAGGCCTCGGGTCTTTGTATTAACCCTGCTAAGAGCTCTATTTTATTCTCAAAGGCTGTTGACAATTCAGATATTCTGGCTAATTCTTTGGGGATTTCTAACCTTGAGGATATTTTCACCTATCTGGGCATTCTATCACTACTCAAAGACTCAAGTTTTCTCACTTCCAACCCCTACTGAGCAAGCTTTCTGCTCTACTTGAGGGTTGGAAAGTTAAGTTTCTTTCTTTTGTAGGACGTGTTCAATACATTAAATTCACGATTACTAATACCATTGCATACTGGATTAGAGGTGCTATCTTACCCAAATCCTGTCAAAAGATCATTTCAAGGATTTGCTCTAATTTTCTATTCTTTGGCAATCTGACGGACAAGAAGATGCATATGATTTCTTGGAGGAGTGTTACTACGCCTAAGTCCAAGGGGGGGCTTGGTATTCCCTCTCTGGACTCGATGTATCATGCTGTAGCATTTTCGTTTATTTGGAGATTGATTAATACTAATTCTCTGGTGGGCTGGTGGTTTAAGAATAATTATGAATCTCCTTGGAAGCCTCCACCTCCTTCGGCTTCTAAATTTTGGAAACTTATATGCTGCAAGGTTGTTGGTTTTAAGGATTTGGTTAGCTTCAAGGTTGGCACCGATTGCAATTACTTTTTATTTTGGGACCCTTGGTTCTATGATGAGCCGCTGGGTAATAGTTTTTTATCCCCTCTAGGATGGGTTGCTGTGTGAAGGAAGTGATTATGAATGGGAGATGGACTCTTCCCAGGTCTTGGCCTATTAATATTTGTTCCAGAATTTTGGGCATTCCGATTCTGGATATTGATAACTTGATGTGGGTTGGCCCTTCTAAGCCTACTTCTAAGTTTTTCTCTTCCCATTTCTATTCTTCCTTAGACAATGTGGATTGGTATAAGTATATTTGGCATAAAAAACACGCCATTCGTTTTGCTTGTTATGCCTGGATGGCGATTCTTTGGAAACTTAAGTGTGCTGATTCGTTGATTAGGAGAGGGCTCCAGGTTAATCCTTTTTGTAATTTCTATTCGGGTCATTCTGAAACACACTCGCACTTGTTTTTTGGGTGTGACTTTACTTTTGGAGTTCTCATTAAGCTTATGCCGGCTTCTAATGCCTTCTACTTAAGACCAAACCTTTTTCAGGTGTATGATTTTATGTGAAATAATGCTAACTTAGCTGTGTTAGAGAAAAAGTTTGCTTCTCTTGCTATATCAGCTATTGTTTATTTCCTTTGGAGAGAAAAAAATCATAGGAGATTTTCTGACGTGAGAAAGAGCATTAATCAAGTTTGTGATGATATTTGTGCAGCGGTTTGTGCCAAGGTTAAAAACTGGAATAATCATGATAATTTGGATGGAAAATTTGGTGAAATTCTGGCCTTTTTGGGATAACTGGAACTTGTTGTTTGTGCCCTCTGTCGAAAGTTATCTGGACGTGTTTTTTGACGTTTTGGTTTCTCTGCTGCTTCGTGTGGTTGAGGACTGGGTTCTCTTTTGGTTCTTTGTTTTGGGAGCAGTCAATTTTTGTGTTAGAGACCATTTTTGGGTTATTTTTGGCGGCTTGGACGATGATGAACTATGGACTACACCAAGCAATTTCAAGGATGGTCTATGGGCAACCAGGGCGTGCTATTCTGAACGATTTCGATATGATCATGGCTGTTGGGGACACTGTGAGGGTCCTTGATTTTTCGGTGGTTCGTTTCCTTGTGGCAACCGGTGCTCCTGCTGCTGTTGCTGGGTTTTATACCTAGCATTCGTTTGATTGTTTTTTGATGTTATTTGATCATTTGGTGTAGTCCTGCATTCTGAGTCCTATTTTCCGCCTTTTATAATTTTTTACTTCGTTTTGTTTTTGGGGGTATACGGGTCTTACTTGTAATTGATAGAATTTTGTTGTAATCTTTGATTTTGACTTTAATAGAACGGCTTATGCCCCAAATTTTCCCCAAAAAAAAAAAAAAAAATCATTTAATATAACTAGCTGCGCTTCCTTTCAAATCTCACTCTTTTTTTTTTCAGTTTTCATTCTTCTTTTCTTTCTAAAAGGAGACACGCCCGACTTATTGCCGCTGGGCCTCATCTTTTTGTCCCAGAAAAAAGTTGAAGAGAACCAAAAGAAGCAGAGCGTACATGTCGACGAAGAGAACGAAATGGCATCCTCCGCCGCCGCCGACTCCGAGAATCCTCAATTTTCCTCGCCGTAGCCGTCTTTTAAGGCCGGAGAAGCACAGAGCTAAGTTGCCGGTGGCGACAAAACCGAATCTCGAAGCCCTCATGCGCCAGGAGAGTCGTCGATGCAGGGGAGAAGAGAGGAGAGCGAAAGTGGAGGAGTCGTATTCGTCGCCGTCAGGAGAGATAACGAGAGATTCGGCAGAGGATAAGTGGAAATTCCAGGCTGATGTCCTCCGCGCGGAATGCAATTTTCTGCGGATGGAGCGGGAGGTTGCGCTCCGGAAGTTGGATAGGAACAGAGTACAGATGGAGTCCGCCTTGACGTCTTTGATGGAAACGATGATTTCAGTAAGCATTCACTTCTGTTTTACCATGTTGGGTTTCTCTAATTGATGTAGGTAATTGTGGTGTATTGTTTAGGGAAGAAAGAAGATCGACGGGAGGTGCGGGAACGCGCCGATGGCGCTGGATGAGGAGATCGAGGAGATACTGGCAAAGCTGGAGGAGATCCATGGAGGGTTTCGATGGACAAAACTGAAGGTCGGTCGGTCTGGTGGAAACTTTGATCGGTGTGCATCTTCGCTTCGTCGGCGGCTGGCAACGATGGAAGAGGTGACGAGCGTGAAAGAGATAAGAGAAATCTCCTATCAGATCGCCGAGCCCGCCATTTCTTCTAAAGGGAATAAGGTGGCTCTGCTTGCATTTGATCGAATGTGTAAATTCCCAGATGTAACTAACCATACATTTTGATCTCCATTCTTGATCATTTCTATCACGATTAGTTTTCTAATTTTTAGTGGGATTTCGAAGGTCGAGAAGCTGAGGATGAAAATGGAGGGGTTATCAAAAGGAATGATGGAGAGGATGGAGGAGCACGGGTTGCTTTCTCTGTCTTTCGAGTCTTCCCCGTCGGCCGCCGCAGCTGAAGCCGGCCGTGGCAACGCACGCCATGGATTGTTTGACAAGGAAGTTAGAGCAGTGGCCGATCGCCGCCGTCCTCTTCGCCAGGTAAGATTCAAAATGCTGTTAATTTTTCGACTGTTGATTTTTTTTTTTTTTTTTTGAACGGGTTGTACTCATTCATATGGATGGATTGGCGGAGACGACTGGAGCGGACAAGGGGCAGGTAGAACCGCAGAAGGGAATGCAGGTTTAGTCCAGTAGGAGAGAAAGGACAAGTAGCTGATTTGGTTTGAAGTCTATTGGAAATTGGTTATTGACTAGTTAACAGACCCATTTTTAAAGAAATTTAGAATACTGTTCAAAGCATAATAAGTTAAAACAGCATGTAGAACCATCTGTACATCATGTGCGTTTAGGCGTAAAACTAAACTTCAAATGAGAATTTATTTGGAGCAGCTCATTTGATTTTTTGGTTGGAGCTTAGATTATCAACCAAAAGAAGCATACATATATATATGATGGGTGCATGAGTTTATAATTAATTTGCTCGAAAGTCTAAAAAAATTTGAATTAGAACTTTTTTTATGGAATCTACGAAGGGGCTTACTTGTTGATTAAATAAAAAATTACAATGTCTTTAAAGGGACCTCGAGCTCTCTAAGGGCATCTCCAACCGAAACTCTCATTTTTCACTGCAAAATGCAGTAAAATCAAAAATTGCCGTGATTCATCTCCATTGGAACGTCATTTTGGCCCGAAATCATCGTCGTTTCTTTCGCGTCTTTCTCAGACTGAGTTCGGTAGAGAGAAAGAAATGGCGAAAGTGAACAGTGCGACGCCAACTATTCATCAGCGACTGAATGCTGGCAAAAATGGAGTTCGGTTGCGACGTCTAAGGCTCTCCATTCGCCTGTTTGCCGAACGGCTGGAGAAGCTCTAATGCTCAGAATAGCTACAATAATAAGCAAAAAAAAATCCTATGAGATCAAGTTTCTTACTACCATATAGGCATAAACAAAAACACCTAAGGACATTCTAATTGTAATGAAGTCAAACAAAAAATGACCCAGAAACAAAATTAGAATTGTGATGAGGTCAACATCCAACCGGACTCAATTACGTAAAGAACCGATAAAACAAAACAACAAGCTGTCTGAAATAGGGGCAATTAGAACAACTTGCTGGTACAGTTAATGGTGAAAACAAGTAAAATCAAGCCCGAGTTAGTCTTGATTTGAGCTTGGGTTTGATTAATTAATAGTATTCAAGCTCGAGCTTGAGTTTTATTCTATGGGTTAGAGCTTGCTCACAAGTCAGATTTTTTGCTATGAAAGAATAAAAAAAATGATTATGATTCAAGAAATTGTTATAATGAAATGGTAAAAAAATAAAAAATAAGAAGAAAAATAATAAACAATCACTTAATATAATGAGAGTGAGATATAATTTTTTTTAACATCTTTGCAATTAAAATCATGAATTCTAATATCACGTGTATTTAAAATTAATAGTTTTTGCTAATTAGTTCTTGAGCTAACAAGTTGAGCTAGGGTTGGCTCAAGCTTGATTTTGTTAGCTCAATGAGCTCGGCTCATGAGTCATTTATCAAGTCAAGCTAGAATCGGCTAATGAATCGACTTGACTCGCTTACACCCCTTATTTAGTATGATTTTTTGATCAGTTTTCATAAGTTTTTGTCCTAAAAACTATTTTTTAAAATGGAATCTCTTAAATAATTACTAGCAATAAACACATAATTTTTTTAAAAAAAATCATATTATTCATATATATATTATTTCTGTAATGATCTAATGAGAATAAGAAGAGTATAATATACTTTTATTTGATGAATATTTTCAGTAGTTCATCTGATTAACTGAAATGTGATATGTGTTTTTGTAGGATGTTTTTGGGGTTAAATATTTATTTTTGAAATTTTTAAATGGGAAAGTTTTTGGTCAGACTGTCCTAATCGAATTTTAGTTTAGGTGGATTATAAGTTTTTGAATTTCTTATAATACATGATAAATTAATCAAAATACATATTGTATTAATTTAAAAATAAATTAAACAATTTTAAGTTTATTTTGAACAAAATTTTGATGAGAATCCAATAATAACAACATTTTTTTTTCAATAAGATTGCTAGAACATTATATGATTTCTACATTTTTGCGTCTAACTTTACCTAAAAATACCTTTTTGGCATAAATTTTTCACTTAACCAAATAACCCCTAAACTCTTTTTTCCCGTTTCTTCCTTTACCAGACTGAAGAGCTTGGGTCAGTAAAGCAATTAGAGACCATTGGCGTTGGAAGGTGCTGCAACTGCAAGAACTTAGTGGATAAGATCGCACAGCAGGTAATGGCCGAAGCAGAGCAGTGCGGCGAGATGCAGGCGATGCTCGACAAAGTCAAGACCGACATGGAAGAGCTTCGTTCGTCCAGAGACCACTGGGAGCACCGTGCCCTCTCCTCCGAACTCAAATTCCGTTCCCTCCACTCTCAGGTTTGATAAATAGCTCAAGCTCGAATAATTTTAATAGGTTCATATACTTAACAAGCCTAACAGAAAAGAGATCTTGTTAGAGCATATTGATCTTATAATAGCTTTATTATGATTAACCATCATAACATATGCATATCAACACATAAACGACATTACATATGACTCAATAAATTAGATGAAGTAGACTTTATATTAATAACCGGCTCATATTCAGCTCAATAATTTAAAAAGCTAAGCACAAACAGAAAACTTTGACTCAATTGCTTAGCTAGTGGAGTGTAATTTTAGTAGTAATAGATCTAGTGAGGGGATTATGACTTTGGGCGATTAAGTCATTAATAATAGTACACGTTTTAAATATCTTGGATCTATTGTTTAGAGTGATGATGAAATAAATGTAGATATTATCAATAGAACTCAAATTGGATGGTTGAAGTGGAGGAATGCATCGGGCTTGTTGTGTTATAGAAAAGTCCCCCTCAAACTTAAAAGGGAAAATTTTCTAAGATGGCGGTGAGACCTGCAATGCTTTATGGTGTCGAATGTTTGCCATTGAAAGAGAAGGAGAATACTAAGTTAAGTGCTACTGTGCTACAGAGATGAGGATGCTCAGGTGGATGAATGGTTTTACCCTTAGAGTTAGGATACTAAATGAGCATATACGTGAAAAGGTTGGAGTAGCTCCTGTGGAAGATAAGATTAGAGAGAGTCGCCTCAAGATGGTTTGGTCACATAAAACGGTGACCTTCCAATGACCCGGTTAGTAAAGTAGAGGTATTAGATTTGACTTATGTTAAGAAAGGTCCAAGTAGACCTAAAAAGACTTGGTTAGAAAATATTAGAAATAATTTTTCTTTATAAGATTTAAACGAGAATTTGACTTTAAAAGAATACAATGGAGAAAAAGTATTCATATACCTGACCCCATGCAGTGGGACAAAGGCTTCATGCTTGATGTTGTTGTTGTAATTTCGACTCTATTAGACAATTTAATACACCTCTAATCTCCATTACTTTTCAGAACTCTCTGTTCTTCTACTAACTATTTGTTTATGGCGTTTTTGTAGATGTTGGAGTGGAAGAAAAGGGCTCTTGAATCAGAAAAAATAGCAAAAGAGCTTGGTAGAGCTGAGGCTTCATCTCTGCCAACTTTGTCTGATCAATTGGATTCGGAGATTTGCAGATTGAAGCAGCTAAAGATCAGAGAAAAGCAGCGGAAATCTTTGGAATTTCAATCTGTGAAGGAGAAGCATGTTGTTGTGTGCCAACGGCGTTCACCCTTTCAGGAGATTGGGAATCTGCCTTCCAAAAACTCCACTGCGAGAATGTTTCGGTAACTTGAGAAATAGCTTATCTATCTCTTTTACTTCAATTCTGTTTTTTGCTTTTTTTTTTTCAGGGTCATTAAAGTTTAAGGCTAATCGTTAACAAATTCTAAAACAGAATATGTATTTCATGAGACAGTTGAAAATTTTGTTCGTGTAGAAATATTAAATGATCGGTCTCTCATAGACTTATGCTTTATATTAAAATAGGTTTGGCCATTGATGTGATTGGCGAGAATTTGGGCTTCATTTGAGACGGCTTTCTTATTGCTTTTTAAAACAGTTTTTTAGTACAAAATTTTATTTTTATACTAGAAAGCTGCTTTAAGAATTAGTAAGAAAGCCGTCCCAAACGAAACCTTAATCGTACTTGGTTTACTCCCTAATAAGCCAAATTGATGGCACTAAAAATTATTATTAATGTTATCCGAGGATAGCATCAAATCTACTATGATATTTTCATGCTACAATATCATGTGATGGCATGTCCTGTAGAGCCTTCAATATTGTCATTTGGTATTGAGGTTTTTCTAATTGCTTCACATTGGATCAACATCATTATATTTTTTTTTTTATAAATTCATAAATCTTTGAAATTAGATTAGGATATATGATTTTTTCTCCTCTTAGGAACCTTTAGGTTGGCTAAAGAATTAGAATTTTATTTTAGCAAGCAGGTGAAGATAATTTTCTTCCATACATCACCCTCCAAGTGATAGGATATCATTTTCTTATTTTAGAATTAATTAAACTTCTTCCTTGAATGTTCTTTTAACAGATGAAATGTGATGAATGACAAACTCTTTATAAATTAATCATGGTTTTTAAAACTTATTCTTTGATGATAAAAAATACCTTAAATTAGTTTAGATTTCTAGATGAAATTTTATTTTATATGTCTATAAAATTTTAATATTTCATTAAATCCTAATTTAGTTCATGATTTCATGTCATAATTCATCACTATAAGATAAATATATAGATGTTATGATACAAATGAATGATTTTATCTCTCTTTCTCTACTCTAATTCTATATAATATACTATAATATGAGAATTATATTAGTTGGGTTGACAGAAACACGAAGAACTCTTGTCCAAGTGGTTTGAATGAAACTTTGAATGAAGTTTTTGAGTTTTGTTTTGACAACTAAAGACGTCTATAGCAAGTCTAGATTCTTTGGCCACAAAATATATTCATGATATATCTACCAAAAATTGGCATAATTGGCACGAATCTCGAGCCAAAATTTGAATGGCCACCTTTAAAAATTAAATTCAGAATCATAGGAACCCCTACTTCTACAAACTTATAATCGAACTAAACATCTCAATGAGATGAACTCAACAACACCAAAAGTAGTTCAATTTGAGCCCAAATTAAGCATTTGAAGCATAATTATAAACTTCAAACATTAATTTGATGATTAAAGTATCTCCAAGTTTGACATGATTATAGTCAAATCGAGCGGCTTGACATGGCCAATCCAACAAGCCGAAGATCATTCAATTCAAACATTGGTAAGGTGTTTAATGTTGAATAAATGTTTTATGATCAAATTAATCAATATGGGTCATACGATAAAGTGTTTTAAATTTTGGTTCAACTTACTAAAAAAACTCATCCTAAAAAGCCTATAAATAGAGAGACAGAGAGAACTAAAGATCTCTCTTGTATTTTTCAACTATCGCCGCCGCCGACAACCACCACCAACTATTGTCACAACCAACCACCACAATCACTAGCAATCACCTTAGTGATCACCTTCATCTTCAAACTCTTGACAATATTTAACCTTATTGTTGGGTTTCAATTGTCCGCTTGTGAATACCACACTTATGTAATCTCTATAAAAGAAATCAAATCTTGTTGTTAGGTGTTACTTGTCCATATGTGAGCACTTAATTTCTATAACACCGCTCAGAGAAAATCATATTTTGTTTTCAAATAATCCCCTCTTCTTTAGTTGGTAAGGAATGGTGGATTCTTATACCACCTTTAAAATGGATTTTTTTCAACGAAGCTACTCCATGATTTTTTCTCTTTCTAGATTTTCCATATAAAAATTTTTTCTAACCTTTTTTCAACTCATTAAACATAATGTTATAGCTTTATAAAGGGGTCAGTTTTGGTCAAGAGTCGGATTCGGGTCGAACTCAGAACTAACCCGACACTATTCAAGTCCGAGTGTCAAATTTTCGAGTCGTGTCAAATATTGACACCCCTAGCTTTATGTATAAAGAATAGACATCATTCACCATGCTGGACAATCATTTATTGCCTTCCTATGTGTTGCAAACTTTTCACTGTGATCTTCTTATTTTTACTATTCATTTCTCAATAAACTTGTCATTGAGAACTAATAAATGATTTAAATTCTTATCAATAATTAATCATCTAAGTAGTCATCAAATGATTCATCTTAAGAATATGGCTTTAATGTCTCATTTGATGACAAGAATATCTTCATTAAGTGATGCCTCCTCAATCTCATTATTAAATATGCCAATTACAATATATGATCAATGGCAAAGCCAGCATGGGAAGGTCATATGTGTCAACTGTATTACTTAATCCTATTAGCAAATTAGCCACCTTAAGATGCTATAACAAATATAAATAAAGACTAGTACTTGTTTCAAATTTCAATATCATGAAAATTTTGTGTTTGATAGTTTTTACAATGTTATTGTTTTATAAAAATTGGTTTCATTTTGTTAATATATATTTTTTCATTTATAATTAGTTTAAAAGTATGAAACCAAAAGGAATCAAAACTTAGATTACAATTTTTTTTTCATTTATTTTTAAGGAGAAATATACCTCAATTCTTTTTGGAAATAATTATCTCCAATAAAGAAATAACTCCTTAGTATTTGTAGATTGATTATTAAACTCATCAATCATTCAAAACTAAAATACTCACTATTTTAAAATTAATTTATCATTAAATTCTTCTAAAGTATATGCTAAATTTTAGCATATGATTTCATATATTTCATTTATTTACAATTAATGACTAAAATTTTTGATAATTTAATATTATTTTATTATTAATTATTTAATAAAAAGATTAAAGACCATAAATTTAATGTGAATTCGTATCAATCATTCAAAACTCCATGATTTTTTCTCTTTCTAGATTTTCCATATAAGAATTTTTTCTAGCCTTTTTTCAACTCATTAAACATAATGTTATAGCTTTATATAGGGATGTCAATTTTGGGTCACAAGTCAGATTCGTGCTCAATCAAATTATGGTCTTTAATCATCTTCGATCCACATGGAAAAAAAGGAATATATTAAATTATAAAAATGTATAAACAAATTAAATCATAATTTTTTTTAAAACATTTAGACCATAAGGCAAACTCTCACACACAACACGTATTAAGACTTAAATACATGATTTCTTAATTAGAAGTCTAAACTCTCAACCAACAAGTCAAAGTGAGCTATGTTAACTTTTCATATTCATTTCATCATTAATCCACACTTAATAACATGCCTAAGCAAGTTAAATCAAATCAACCCAAATTAAATCTATTTTAAGTTAGTATTAACTTTCCATGGTCTTTATAGCCTCAAAAATTTAGCAAAATTCGTTTTTTACAGATGTATGTAATTCAATGTTACTTGGATCGTATTTGTTAAGAAAATTGCCCAAGATGGAGCCAAGATCCATATTGAAATTATTCAGCAAAACCAAACAAAATTGAGAAACAAAATCAAATTAGTCATAGATACGAATTCACATTGATAGATCAAAGTCCATTTGCCTACAAACAGCTAATTGCGGACATTTCCAACAAGGCGGAACTTTTTTACTTTAATTTCTACATAAAGCAAGCAGAAATATAACGAAGAACTAAGATATAACAAGCCAGATAAACTTTCACAACAAACCCATCACCCACTCAAGCCCTCTCACCACGAATCCTTCGAGCAAGCTGAATGTCCTTGGGCATTATAGTAACCCTCTTCGCATGAATGGCACAAAGATTAGTATCCTCAAAGAGACCAACGAGATATGCCTCAGAAGCTTCTTGCAAAGCAGCAACAGCGGAGCTCTGAAAGCGCAGGTCGGTCTTGAAATCTTGAGCAATCTCACGAACCAGGCGCTGGAAAGGGAGCTTACGGATAAGAAGCTCTGTGCTCTTCTGATATTTCCTGATCTCTCTCAGCGCAACTGTTCCTGGACGGAAACGGTGGGGCTTCTTCACGCCGCCAGTTGCCGGAGCTGACTTCCTCGCGGCCTTGGTTGCAAGCTGCTTCCTTGGTGCCTTGCCGCCGGTGGACTTGCGGGCAGTTTGCTTAGTCCTAGCCATCTCAAATATTGAGCTTTGGGATGAGGGAAAGATATATTTTTGACTTGGTGCTTATCTGGGATATGGCGATGGACGAAAGGAGATCGGCATGAGGGTTTTTGTAGAGGTGAAGAGCGGTAAACGGAAACTTAAAATTTGAATTTTTAAGGAAAATCCGGCGGGTTTGAAGTAGGGGTTTTGTTTGCCGTTGGTTAAGGTGAAATGGACGGTTCAGATTTAAAACTGATGAGGCACGCGGATCAGTACCTGGTTAATCCTTTTAATCTTTGGATGTTTATATCAAGAATTTTTTAAATTGAGTTTTGTTGCCATATATACCTCTTTAAATATCTGATTTTAATGATTTAAATTTAAATCATTAATGTTATTATGTACAACCTAATAATATATCAATTCTTATAAGAACAAAAAATTCATTTGATGGAGGGGAGTATTGAGGTAATATTCAAATCGAATATTTTTAAAATTAAATTCAAGACCATCTAAAATCCAATTTCAAAAAAATTATAGTTGAATTGAACATCATGATGATCAAAATCCATTGACATCAAATGAATTTATCTAGGTCTAAATGAAATCTAATCAAGCATTTGAAGTTTATTTAAAAATTTTTAATATTAATTGAAGAACTAAATGGTCTTCAGTTTTTTACATGCTTATAGTCAACTTGAGCAACTGGATAAGGTGAATCTAATGAGCCTAAGATCATTTGATGCTGACATCATCAAAGCACCTAAATACTCGACCTGAATTGACCCATTTTTTGCATTCTCATTCAGGTGTTGAGCAGCCCGGCAGTAGCACGGCAACACCGACAGCGGTACGACAACAACACCGACGGCGAAGCGACAACAACAACAGCGCTGTCAGCTGGACTCGATGTGGGCAAACTCGACGCTACATGCGATTCGACGGTAGCACGAGCAGATGTCACTCGACGCAACACGATCGCTCGACACGGGCATACGTCACGGTCAGGTTCAATTTATGCCGGCAGTTGAAGCAGTCAGGTTCAATATGCTGGGTCATTTCGGGTCATTATTGAGTTTCCAGGTCAACCCGAACCCTACCCAATTTTGTTGAAACTGAACTCGCCCATTTCACAAATGGTTTGATCCTAACCCAAATTTTTCGGATCGGATTCGAGTCAGATATTCAAGTAATGTCAAATACTGACACCTCTATATAAGAGTATCCCCCAAAGCATCTTTATAAAAAGTACCACCATATCTTAAAATTAATAGTTCACATGAGAAATACCGCTAGAATCAATAATTGTACTAATTAGAATTGGTGGTTGAACTAGTGAGCCGATTGTGATTTTAAGGAACGACTCTATTCCTATTCTGATCAATTTATTTGCATCTTTCTAATCATATATATCTAGTAATAAACAATGAAGCTTGGGAGGTATTAAAAAAGAAAGAGGAATCTTATCATGTTGCCAAATATTGATGAAGTAAAAAAGTAGTAATCTAAATGAAAATAAAAGATCTTCAAAGGAGGAAAGAATATTGTTGAATGTAAGTGCAGTAAGTATTGGGTGAAAGGTCATCATCAAATTACTTCTAAAGTTGAATGCCTGCCATCAGCTACTTAATTGATGCAATTAATTTAATTCCTTGTAATCCTATAAGGTAATGAATTCTTTGTAATCAAGTTAACTTGTGTCATTAATATAAGTGCTTGTAATTATTTTAGGCATGTGCATTTTTATTTGAATATTGTCTTATTAGGGGTGGTAAAATTTGATACAACTCGAAAATCTGATTCCAACCTGATCCGAAAATTTTGGGTTAGGGTCAATCCGTTTCGCAAAAGGGTTGGATTTGAGTTCTCGGATTCGATCCGTTTGGAAATATAGGTTTGGTTATGGTTGACCTAGAAACTAGAACTCAACCCGAGTTAACTCGTTTGGAAAAACGCATGTGAGTCACATCCCATCCCGTCTAGTCCCATCTCATTTTGATGCTTGAAGCGTGCATCGATGCATGGAAGAGCCTCTAACGACGTTGTCGTTGCTGGCGCTAAGCTCGCCGACTCGCCTTCGTCGGTCAGAAGTAACGATAGCTCAACGCATAAACTTGACATTCGGTTCCAACACCAGGAACTGTGCCGTGTTGCTGCCAACGTCGACCTTGCCAACTCGCCGTCCCCACCAACTTGCCGAGTCGCCGACGCCTCATCCAGCCTACAGCTCACGTCTTGTGTTTTTAATCAAAATGTGTACGCGTGTCGGGTCGGGTCAACCTGATCGAGTTCGAGTTGAAATAACTAACCCATTTGCAAAAACGGGTCGAGTTCTGTTGGGTCAACTAGTGTCAGGTAAGTTTTTGGTTCGACCTGAACCTGACCCATGACCCGTTTTTGACATCCTTATATTTTATATTACTTTGGTACACTTTTTTGTCAAATGTAAATTAATTCTTTAAATATTAATGATTTTTTAGTCTCCATGATATTATGTGTTGTAATTGATGTGGTATCCTTGTAATAAAAACTATAAAAATAATATTCATATGATTTGAAAACTACATCAAATCATAACAAAATAAAACAAATACTAATATACTCGACATTTCATACACCATGATAATAGAACTTCATAGAAGAAGTAAATATCATAGCTTAAACAAAAGATATTAGAAGCCATACTCTAAACCATGCCAATTTACCTTTAATTGCTTTATGTTTTCAACCTCATAATGCTTCCACTCTTCAAGTGGTTTTCCATTATAATATTATATGAGTCCATTATCTATAGTTGTTTGATCTACTTTGATTTGCCTATAATCTTACAAAAATCTTATATGAATATTATATAGGCCAGTCAAAAAATATGTCATCTTAATGATTCCCTTATGAACTAACATCAAGCCAAAATCTATCAAGTAGTCACCTTCATTGTCCTTATTACATGATAAAGAGTTAGCATGCAATTACCTTACTAGTAGGTCATCATGATGTGTTCAATGATGAATATAACATGTTAGCTCATTAAATAATTTATCTATATCTTAAGCTCATTTTGGTGGACACTAAAAGAAATACATTGAATATGGTTTTTGAATGTGACATTCTATCAATTATTTATGTAATATTGTTTTCTATGGGTTTGTTTTGAATATGATTTGTTATATATGTGATTTGAATAACATTCAAAAAATAGTTCGAACACGTACATTTTGAACCCTAGTCTAAAGTTGTTTGAATCACAAGGTTCGAACTATGTTAAAACAAGATTTGAACTTATTTCAAGCCTTGTTTAAGCATATCTAAACATTATTCGCATATGATTTGAAAAAAACTTTGAAAACATGTATGAACTGATTATAATGTAAATGAAAAATCAAACAAAGTTCAAACAATAATATGGCACAATTGAATAATGTCCAAATGTTTGAATATGTTTAAATTAGGTTCAAACTAGATTATAAATTTGGTTTGAACCTGATTTGAACATCATTTGAGTCATGAATACTAAAGAATAATAAAGTTTGAACCTTATTCAAACCCTAATACATGCTTATGAGTAAACTAAAGTCATAAAACAAAGTAAACTGGTTCGTCCCTAGATTACCTTGCGTATGCTAGGGTTCCGCATCGGGAATCCACCACCTAGTGTCGGTGCTCTCAGGGAAGCCTCCACCTCCTCTTTTTAGTTTATTTTGTGTGTGTTTTTCTCTTTATGTTTTCTAGTTGTCCTCCTCCGGCACTTGTGGCCGGAATGGCGGTAAAACCTTGGGTCAACCCTGATTTTTTGGAGGGATCGACTAAATCCCTTTTTTTGTAAATGCTTTGTTTGGTGTTTCCTTTGATGCTTATTTTCCTGATCTCAAACCTTCTTCGTTTCGTTATTTGTTATCCCTTTGGATTTCATATGAAGAAGTTTTCGGGCTTGTGGCTACTTTGCGTTTCACATTGGTTGGTTTTTTCACTCTTGGTGTCTGAATCTCAATGCTATTCGAAAGTTTTCTTTGCTCTTAAGCTTAATGGTGATTTTTCTGTAACTTTCATGGATCATTCCCATGTTGTGTTGATTAATTTGGTGGATTACATAAACTATAGCATAATTTTTCTATTTTGTTATCAATTGTTACATGAAGTTGATCAAATGGTCTCCTCTTCTTGATATTGGTGTGGAGTCCCATGTCATACGTATTTGGATATCATTTCCCTACTTGCGGCAACTTTTTTTTTTTGCCTCGTATTCTTCACAGTTTGGGTTCTTTATTTGGCTGTATGCTGAAGGTGGATCATGCGACCTTTGTTGGCTCCCATCCCTCTATTACCGGAGTGTTAGTCGAGCTTGACATTACTAAAAAATATTTTGATAAAGTTTGGATTGGTCCTTACAAGCTTGGTTATTTTCAACATGTTTTGATGGATGAGTTTCTTCATTTTTGTGCGCAATGTAAATCAATTGGTCATTAGTCTGGTGAATGTCGTTCTGGTATTCCAGTGAGTGATTCGATTAATAATAATATATCTAGTGAGAAGGTTTATGATGTGGGTGAAAATATGGTTGTTGTTGGTACTATGGTAAATTTTGTTCATACTGAAACTCCTATCCTATTAGTCCTATTGAGATTGTGGTTAATGGGGAGATTGGTGTGGATACTACTCTTGCTATGGAAAATAGCAATGGTAACACTAAGTATGGTGCTCTTATTGAGGAGACAGGTTATCAGTCGTCTGTTGTTTTGCTTGTTACTCATTCTTTTGTAATTAATGAGGAGTTGCTGAGGTTTCTGAGCTGAACCCTTGCTTAGTCAATTTAGTAGCTAGTCTTATTGCGTCTTCTGATTCTAATGTTGTTGTTGGTGATGGTGAAGTTGTAGTTTTTGACCATAGGGACCGAGAGATTGCTTGCCCATTGGGTGGGAAACTACCTGTTACGAGTGGTGAGATTGCTTTGGACTCTCCCATTTGTTCTCATGATTCATTTCCTGGTGGTGTTGAACCTGAGGTTAAAAATGTTGATGTACCTCTTATTGATATGCCTATATTCGTTATTTCTAATGATGCATTGTTAGCTCACCATGCTTGTACTTAGGGAGATCATTGTGACTGGTTAGATGATGAT